TTATCGACAAGTCTGATTCTTCATATTTTTAAACAAGGAGGACCATTAGAATTGCATACAGAGCGCAAGAAGTTATGGTTTCGGCGCTGTATTGCTACAAAAGTCAGATGATGGTCAGTTACACCCCATTTACTTCATGAGTAAAAAAACTAGTCTCCAACAAGAGAAGCTATCTAATTATGAGCTTGAAGTTTTAGCTATAGTAGTTGTAAAGAAATTCAGGAATTACCTTTTAGGATCTAACGTCAGAATAATTACGAATTGCGATGCTTTCCAGAAGACTATGTTTAAGAAAGATCTAACCCCTAAAGTGGTGAGACGGGAGTTACTTCTAGAAGAATTTGACTACAAAATTGTTCACAGATCTGGGCAGCAAATGAAGCATGTGGATTCATTAAGTAGAAACTCTACCATGATGGTTACTTGTTCTCAGGGAGAAGTTTTAGCCAAAATTGCAGCTACACAAAGAAGTGATGAGCATCTCCAGTTGCTAAAAGAAATATAGAGTTTAATTTAATATTAAATAGGACTAAAGAAAGATTTCCTAGTGAATAATGGTATATTATACAAGTTCGACAGTGGTCGCGAGCTACTTGTGGTACCCGAAGCATTAGAGCTAGAAATCATACGTAGTATCCACAACAAGGAACATTTCACAGTGTCTAAAACGGGAGATCTGCTGAAAATCGACTTTTATATTCCTAACCTTAGAAAACAAATTGAACAAGTCATTTCAAATTGTATAGAATGTATTTTGTGCGATAGAAAACGAGGTAAGGGCAAAGAGTTGCTGAATCCCATACTAAAAGATAGTATCCCTTTGAGCACTTATCATATCGATTTTATAGGACCATTACCTTCGACAAATAAGAACTACAATGATCTTAACCGTGTATGATGCATTCACAAAGTTTATGTGGCTCTATCCAGTGAAGTCTATATCAGCTCAAGAGGCATTGCAGAAGCTGAAACTACAACAATCAACTTTCGGTAATCCTTTGAGAATAATAAGTGACAAAGGTGTACCTCTAAAGATTTTGAAGATTACTGTAGTCAAGAGAAGATCCAGCACATATTTACAACTACAGGCGTTCCTAGAGGAAATGGACAAGTGGAAAGAATTCATCTCACTCTGATTCCAGTCCTATCCAGATTATCCATAGATGATCCAACCAAGTGGTACAAATATGTTGGGAGATGTACAGTGGATCTTTAACAGCACTAAGAGCAGAAGTACAAAGAGTTCTCCATTTGAGCTCCTCACTGATGTTAAAATGAGAAATTGAGAGGACTTAAAGATTATGGAAATTCTCAAAGAAGAAGAAAGAAATATTATGATGAAAGATCAAGAAGATATGAGAAAGGAAGCAAGGAAAAATATTCTAAAAATTCAGGAAGAGAATAGAAAAACGTACAAGAAGAGAAAAGAGGCACAGGTGTACAATGTGAATGACCTAGTTGCCATACAAAGAACGCAATATGGAGGTGGTCTAAAGTTAAGGTTCTTCGGTCCATATCGTGTAACAGCGGCGAAAGGCAAAGATCACTACCTGGTGGGAAAAGTAGGACACCATGAAGGTCCTGGATGTACCACTACAGTAGCTGATCACCTGAAGGCTTGGACTGCTACTGTCTAGGACTGTGTGTGATTCTTCCGCACTTCTTTCTTTCTTTCTTTTTTTTTTTTTTTTTTCTTCTTCTTCATCTTTTCTCTCTCTCTCTGTCTTCCTTCTTTTTTTTTTTCCCCTCCTTAAATTTATTTTTGGGTGCTGTCTTGATGTTCTAGTGTTGCTGATCCGTGTTTTCCAGGGCGAAAAAAGTAAGGATCGCCAAGTTGTGGTATTTGTAAGTGCAACACAACCACCGAGGGCCTCACCTATGCACGATCAGCAAGAGCGAGGTGAAAGAGGAGTATGATACAGACAGACAGTCGTCTATTTCACGCGAAGGTGATAAAAATGTCTCCACGAGAAGGTGGTTAGGCGCTAAGCTGCTATTTAGATTCTAAAAGTGATAAAGGACTGTGTTTATATCTAACAAGCGCAAGAAGGCAGAACAGCACTTGTATTCAATTCAATCTGTACCTTTTTTGTTATTTTCATTAAATGTCGTCTGTTGTGTGGAAAATATTGGAATTGTTTATTGAACCCTAGCAAAGCATCTTCAACTCCCCTTACACGTGTATATGTTCATTTATATGTATTTATGTGTATGTATGTTAATTTATATGTATATCCCTATAGTGCTTACTTACATCTGTAACAAATTGCATATCTGCTTATATGTTTATTATTCATTTATTTATGTCTGTTCATTTATTTAAAAAAAAAAAAAAAAAAAAAAGCAAGCCGTCCCTTCACTTCCTGTTTCAGTCGTCATCACTCCCTCCCTTTTTGCTTTTAAGTTTGCAAAGCTTTCCATTTTCCTTTCGCCGTTTGGCCTTCCTTCTCAGTCCCCTTTTGTCGATAGGCTTTGCTTCATTTCGCCTATACATCTTTGAGTTTTTTATTTATTTATTTGTTTTTTGTCCCCCCACCCCTCGTTTTTAGCGCGAAGGCTCTCCTCTTCTTAGACCAGTTTTTAGCTTTTTGCTTCTTCCCTTTTTAGCTTAAAGGCACCCCTCTCCTCTTTTAGCCTTTTGGCTTTTCTTTGAGGCCCCTTTTCTCATCTGGCGTACTCTGCCTTGTTTTAGCCTATTGTCATTTATTGTTCATCCTTTTTTTTAGCCGTGAAGGCTTACCGCTTCTTATATCAGTTTATAGCTTTTTGCTTCTTCTCCTTTTTAGCCGAAAAGCACCTCCTCCTCTTTCAGTTGTTTGGCTTTTCTTTGAGGCCCCCTTTCTCGGCTGACGTGCTCTGCCTCGTTTTAGCCTATTGGCTTTTGCCCACCTTTGTAGTTAGCACCTGTCTCCTCCTGCTTAATATGGAGTGAGATAACGGAGTGTCTAGAAGGTGTGGATTCAAACCCACTTACTGGCAGCAATCATTACAAAACACCACAGTTGCTTTCAGTAACAGGATAAGAGTTTGCTGTTGTTGTTGTTTTCAGTCCATCTTATTTTAATTGAATGTCCATATTTTAATAGTCTTTGTCAGAAACATTTTAATAGCTGTGACTTACCTCTCGACCGTTTAATCAGAAGAGATGTCAGTTGTAATTTATTTTATTATTTAAAAGAGAGCTTTTATTACTTAATCTAATCTGTTTTGAAAGACTGTGTATTGTATTTTAATGTTTGCTTTTATGACTTCATGCTCTGGATTTGGTACATTTGTCCACCTTTTTTATTTACTAATTATTTTACTAATTACTTTATTTACTACTAAGAAATTGTTTTTTATTTCCTCAAATTAGATCATCCTACCTCATGTTTGGTGCATTATAATCATCTTTATTTTTGCACCAAAAAACTCACTCACTCATAGATAAACATAAGCATGGTGTAAGAGTGATGGAATAGGTGAAGACTTATGCCCGTTCGACATCGACGATTTGCACTATTCTGAAGAAGAGGGAAGAAATTAAGAAACTTGATGTGGCCTAAGGAGTTACCGTTTCTTCCAAGCACCATCCAAAACTCCTAGAAGATGTTGAGAAGCTGTTGTTGTGTGGATTAACGAGAAGCAGTTAAAAGGCATTTTGGTGTTGGAAGCTATCATTTGCACTAAGGCTAAGAATCTGTACTTGGACCTTCTCTAAAAAACACCAGGTATGTCAACTGAAGATGAAATGGCATTTAAGGCAAGCCGTGGATGGGTCGAAAAATTTCAAAAGAGAACCGGTGTGCTCACTGTGTTGTGCGACATGGAGGGGCTGCGAGCTGCTGCTTATAACTTTCACCCAGAGTTCCTACAGTATATTACTAGTGAGGGCTTTCTTCTCCAGCAAGCATTTAAATTGTGATGAAATACATCTTTGGGGGGGGGAATGCCCAAGAGGACCTACATCGCGCAAGAGGAGAAATCTTTGCCTGGCTTGTAAAATCAAGCCGTCACTCATCTACCACTCAGAAAATCCAGGCATATTCAAGAGGGGAAAAGTTCAGAAAAACCATCTGAATGTGATGTGGCGGGCCAACAACAAAGCCTTGGTAACATGGCAATTTTTCATCGAGTGGGTCAGTTAAGTTTTTGGTCCCTCAGTGAAGAAATACCTTCACAAAAATAAGTTGACACTGAAGGCTTTGGTCATCCTTGATATTGCTCCTGCACATCCTCCAGGCATTGAAGATGATTTGCTGGAGGAATTTCAGTTCATAAAAGTTAAGTTTCTTCCTCCCAACACCACTCCACTTCTCCAATCTGTAGACCAGCAAGTTATTTCCAACTTTAAAAACCTAAAGGCTCTGTTTCAAAGGTGTTTTAAAGGGACTGCAAATACAAGCCTGACCCTCAGAGAATTTTGGAAGGATCACTTCAGCATCCTAATCATCCAAGTTTTCCAAGTTTCAGTGAGGACCCTGAATTCAGCATGGAAAAAACTGTGGCCTTAAGAGTATTCCTGACTTAAGTTTCGATAGGCGAACCATGAACTTACATAATGACAATGTAGTGTTTGTTGCATTTTAGAGGCATCTTAAAAAGGAGACAGAAGTAAGTGTTATTAGGTAAGGTTTTGGTAAAGCAATTGCAACTAAAAAAAAGTTAAGTGATTCTGACCCAGAGTCTGCTTCCAGCATTATTTATTAGAAAAATTTATTTTTATGTTGATATTTTTGGGGGTGTGGAGCAGATTAAATGGATTTCCATTATTTTCAATGAGTAAGTTGGTTTCTAGATACGAGAAATTTGCTATACAGTGCTGGAACAAATTAAATTTGTATCTAGAGGTTCCGCTGTATATGTAAAATCACATTAAAACAGTGACAGTCTGAAACTAAGCTAAAAGGTACAAAAATCAATCCAGGTGTTTATGTCTTTTATGTGAGATTCATTAGAGAACTTGTGATAAATTACTGTCTGTGCACATTTTTTCTAAAATTAGTTCTTTTCTTTCCTAGATTCTTTGCCCAGAATGCAGCTCAAAAATTGGAACATTCTGCTGGAAAGGTAAATATTATCTATTTTCTACTATATATTACTTTAAGTCCTATTTGTAATTGATACAAGGAAATGTGATATATGAGAAGGGAAAAAACTTTCTGTCTCTGAAAAATGAAAAGTGGTGTAGCTCCAAATTGCATGTACATTCCATATGCAAAATATTTTTATAATGAAGACAATTGTTGTTTGACTTCTGAATTTTTATAATGCTTTAACATTTGAAAAATGTATTCTAGAATTTATTGATTATTGAAATTTATTGTTTTTGTTCTATGTGTAGATAAATATTTAATATTAAATTAAACTCTATATTTCTTTTTCTCGAGGGGGATAGTGTTATGTATGGTCTTGTAGTACAGTAGCACAGCATTTCTCAGTCTGCAGTTCATGAACCACAAGTGGTTTTGAAACCTTCCCTTGTGGTCTCCCTAGACTTCTAAAAAGGGAATTATACCTGGAAATCTCAGAGTTTTTAAAGTGCACATGATAATTGTCTATCATTTTTTTTCCAAGACTGAAAATTTATGAAATTTATTACCAATTATGTACTTACAGACTTCCCCCTCTAATCCTGGCAACAAAACAGCGATTCAAAGTACTATGACTGTGGTGCTTTTTACATTTATAGATCCAAACATAAACTGATGTGGAAGCATCAACACACTCATCCTTCTCATTAATGGGAATGCCAACATTTTATTTAATTGTTAGCTATATACAAATTCTAATAAGCTTGGATCATTAAAAACAAATATAAATTTTCTTTCATTAACTTAATACTAGTACATAATTAAATGACTTTTAACTAATTGTCTTTTTAAAACATAAGTAAACTGATAGTAACACATGTTTAAAAAAATTGCTTTCAAGGAAAACAAGAGTTAGGTGGCCTGCAGTGAATATAATTCATAAAAGTGGTCTCCATTAAAAAAAAAAAAAAAAAAAAAAAGAAAGAAAGAAATACTGCAGTTACAGATTGTTTTTTGGGGGGGGGTAATATGCTGCCAATTAATTGGTTTAATGGATAAATGGTGATCAGTCAAGCAACAGTTAAAAGTGCATAGGAAAGAGGGAATACTCCATATTATAATTCACAGAAAAGTATTATTAGCAATTTACCTGTACTTTTAAGCAGTTTAATATGATTAAGAAGTTATTTGGTTATGTAAATTAAATCAGCATTCAAAATGAAAATAGTATAGGTTTTTTTTTTTTTTTTTTTTTTCTTTTTCTAATTACTCATTTATTTCTATAGAGTCAATGAGAAGCAGAAGATTGATAATTGAGAACTTGTTTTATTATTATAACTGAGCAGTTTTTAATAGATGATTAGCAGTGTTTTTCCATTCCAGATTACATTAAATTATGAGATGTGTTTTTTAAGTAAGGGGTGTTTAAAATAAAAACCAAACAAAAGAAAATTTTCAAAAACCAAATTTATTTTTAGATTCTACATATGTTGCTCTATTTTTCAACATAGTTGCCAAATTTGTTTAAACACTTATCATATCTTAAAACTAGATTTTGAATACCCTGTTCATAGAAACTTGCTGCCTGCTCCGATAACCAAGAGGTCACGGCCGTTTTCACATCCTAGACTAGACACTTCAGGAAATTCATTTGACAGAGTCCTTATGGTGAAACACTTGTTCTCAAGAATTTTCGCTTCAACTGTAGCCACTATATCACTTGTGGTCACAGATGGGCGACCGTAGCAGGACTTATCATGAACGTTGTCACGACCAGCTTTGAAGTCTCTGGCTCACATAAGCATTTTGCCTTCACTCATGGCAGTAGCCCTGTAAACTTCACAAATCTGCCAAGTGACAGTCTGCAGTAGACAGATTTTTTGCTGACAAAAACATATCACTGACCTTACCTCACATGGGGCAGGTGATTCGATAATCTTGAACATTTTAAAGACACAGAACAGACCATACAGGTTACCTACACAGCTGCAACTGAGCACAGTTGTTTCCAAGGGATGTCGGGATATGACGCAAGCACTCGTTGCCGCCTGCGTGACAGATATTAGTGTATACAACAAAGTGGCCCTTAATTAAAAAACATGCTATGTGAGTACTCTTGTTGATAAACAATTCAAACAATGGTAGGAGGACTAATAAAACTTATACTAATGGAGGGAAAGGAATTGGTTTATATTTTAGGTGTTGATTGGCAGTGTACTGTTAAGATACCCACAAGTTAATATGTTGTAAATGCAAGTGAAGGATTTCCCCCCCCCTGGTTCTTTATTATACAAGATTTTCAAAATATAAAAAAATGGAACTAAACAACTCCATAAAAACAAAATTTAATTATGATATGCTTAAAGCATTGTTTTATTAACAAAGGAGGCTCCTTTTTGCATGCTAGACAAAAATATCATGTTTTCCATCATCTCTTTTAGATGGTTCAAATATAACACACCTTTCTTTGTTGGTCACTTTTTTTGCTATAGGAGGTATGCTTTCCAAGTTTTGAGATTCAGTTTGTTTTGGATTGTTACAGCTTTTTTTGAATTTGTAAATTCAAGTTAGAGATGAGATCAGTAGTTCTCTAAATTTTAAAGATTTAATTATACTTTTTCTGCATTTCAGAAAAAGTAAATGTGCATTGTGTATGTCTGTTTTAATAATATGTTAAGCTATTTTTCAGCCACCTAATATTTTTTTCGAAGTGCTGTAGTAACTTGGTATTTAAACATCTGGCATTTCAATATCGTAATCCTTGATTATATTTAGTTTTGGAGTGAAATTTCCTGTTTCTGTTTCAGACTTCAACCAGCTCCACCTTTTGTATGCTCAAAACATTTTAAGAATATTGAGCTTATTTTTCCACTTTTTGACAACTATCAGTTCACTTCTGTGCATTGTCTTCTTCTCCCCCCCCCACTAATGTTTTTTAATTTCTTTTGATTATTGCACAGATGCCACAAATATCGCTTTTGTTTTCATGTATATTTTTTTGTAAGTGCAAATATTTATAAAAAAAAAAAAAAAAACTTCTGTATATAACATATATCCCTTATTTAACAAATCCATCAACTGCAAGATTACTTGGGAAGCATGTTCATCACTGTAAACAACAGTTTTTGATTTGCCATTTAAGCCATTCCATTAGATTTGCTTATAACTCATGCAGTTTTATCTTATATTTCTTGCTCTTTATGATCAATAATCTTTCATGCCATAAAATTACAGATTCATCAATGCATAAGTTTCAGTCAGGTGTACAATTGTTTTTCATAATGTTATTGAAATAATTGGAAAATTGATTTATATAACATATCTTCTGTTGCTGGCAAATGCTAAATGCACAAGTCTTAATGATCCAGTATTGTTGAATTGGGCACCGTTTTTTTTTTTTTTTTTTTTTTTTTTTTTTTCTGATGAGGCTACTGTTTCCCAGAATTTTTCATCATCCCTGTAATTGCTTTAAAATTGTTAGTTTCTCTTGGTAGTTCTTAATCTAAATTGTTACTACTGTTGTTTCTTAGATATTCATCCATTTCAGCATATTGCTTCTGTGTCAGCTGCCTTTTTTGTGACATCGCCCTCCCAAAAGTGTCATCTAGTATCACTTAGCAGTTAAAAAAAATTTTAATAAATATAATTGAAGTCAAAATATAAAAATTTTAAATAAATAATAATAATAAATTTCTTTGGATTCAGTCACATGCGGGTACACTTAAAATTGATTATTTAATACCACAAATCATTTAACATAAAATAATTACATATTGCTGAAAAAGTTATTTTTGTGAGAATATTCCGTTCTGCAGAAACTTTTCTCTGTGCTCTTTATGCAAGTTTCTCAAAGAGCAATATGTGTAACTGCATATGAACCTTGACACTTCTCTTATAATAAAGCTTATTGAATTGGAGAGTATATTATGTACTGATTGGAAGTAGCTCTTTAATTTATATTTTCATCTGTAAAGAAGGTTAGCAAAATAAGGACTCTGTATTGAAACAGTATGGTGTTCATTGAATTTACAATAAATCTGAATCTCTTTTAAGCTGTTTTATCTGTGGGCCTTAGAAAATGCCTGATAACATCTTGCAGTGTTCAGTTCAAGGAATTAATTCCCTTGCCAAATAACTAAAATACTACCATCTTTATTTAAATCTGTTTTATCAGCCCAAATCTGATATGTAATGATGACTTTCTTTGGGGGGGAGGGAGGGTCAGCCAAAAGTTGCTGTCAAAGCCCCCCCTCTACCCTTTTTTCCAAATCTATTAGTTTTTGCTCTGGTTTCAGAGATTCAAAAAGTTTTGTTACTTTTTGTATGTTTTCGTCGATCCTACAGGAATCTTATTTTTAGGTCTACTATACAAATCATATACTGATGTTGATATTTCATCTCTTGCTGGACTAAATTAATTTGTCATACTTTTCTTTCATATTGATACAGTGACTTGGCTGTTTTTAAAGCATATCTTAAATTTGTGGCTGAGTGTCAATTATTTAAATCATGATTTTAATCAGCAGATGTTTTTTAAAAAATCATTGATTAAAATTAGACATTCTCCCATTTTTTAAGTGATGGGAAATATGTTAAAATCAAAGATTTAAGATTTTGATTAGTGAATACAGAAAACAGAAGTTTTTTACAGAAGTTTTTAAACAAGCCACACTAATACAATGCTAGGAAATGTGTCACTTCCATCTCCATCTAATCTTAAGCACAAGTTTGTTGAATAATGACTAATTCTAAGTACAGGGTTCGTGATCTCAATAAATATCTTGTAAAAACTCCATGTTCTCAAAAATCTAAAATATATCATCAGTTAAATGAACTTTTATGCTACAAATGCATAATTTTATATTGCAAAAAGCCCTTATCATACATTCATGAAGATGCTACATCTTGAACATAAATCTCCATCTAAAAGTGACTTGCATAGTAAATTATTAAATCATTTATATGAAAAAATGCAATAATGCTTTAGTTAATTAGACAGTATATGCGATGCTAAGTGCTTGGTCTAAGACCACATTCAAGTAAAATTTTACTTATCCTTGACACTGATGCTAATTAAAAAGTTGAAAGCAAATTAATTTAAATGTAAAATTTGTAGTACTACAACCAGTTATGCAGCAAATATGGCAAAAAATAAATGAATTAGTATTGCTGAAGCTGTTAAACTGGAAATATCTCTTGAAAACAGCATAAAAAATCTTTATAAAACATGTCTCAAAATTATTTAAAACATGATATGAAGAAGCACTCACTCATCAGCACATTGTAAGCATATATGTTATATTCAAAATATAAAGCTGAAGACCTAACTAGATGTTTTCTGTTTTTGAACTTGTGCACATCAATGAGATATGTTGAAAAGGTGGTAAAACCTCATACAAAGAATACTTATGTTTTACAAAACCAAAAGTCGGATCATTAGGAAAGCTAAGTGTCACCTGAATTTATGACCTGCCAATGTTCAGGAAGATTTCTGATAATATATTTCTATATAAAATTGAGCTGGTCAGTAAGGAATAAGAAGTTTGCTAGCTTTTCATTCAGCTCAGTTTTACACATGAAAGCATATCTTTCTGTTCAGCTAATAGAAAATGTAGCAGTCTATTAGTGCAAGACCTCGTATATGAAGCAGATAAGATGGAACTGCCAAACTTCTGGGTACTTGCTGAAGCCATATCACAACTTGGGTCTTCCTTGCAAGAATCAAAAGCATTGTGCTGCAGGCATGTCTCAACAAATTTATCAACAAGATGCTGTAGCTGCTAGCAGCACAGTTTGTGATGTCTGTGCGTAGTGAAAACAGATCTTGAAGAACTATGAATCCTGCCAACCATTATCATTTACATTAATTGATTTTTATTTCAACCAATGCTTTTTCCATTTCATTTTTGTGACATAAATGTTGTTGACATACAGAGGCTGTTCTCACATTTTTTAGGCGATTTTCATTGTAACTACAGAAATATTTTACCTAAAATTTTGATGTTCTAAATGTTGTATTTGATAACTATATTCTTCACTATCTTTATGTACCGTAATTTCAAGACAGTAATAAAGCCTTTCATAGTATTGGAAGAGGTTTTACATCCCATTGCTCTGAAACAGCTTTGCAAGGAGAGCTGTAGGTCAACATTTGGACAATCCGCTTTTAAAGTCCAAAAATACATTGGTGACAGATCAGAAGATTTAGTAGAGATATGAGTGAAAGGTTTATAGCCTTGATACCCATTTCTTGTTATTGCTATGTGCTTTGTCTTGATGCAGTTCTACTGATTCTGTAAAACTCTCTGTAAACAGAAGGTATTTCATATTTGAAAATTAGGTGTAAAATATATTTTTGATAATATGTAGAGTAGGTCTTAGCATTTTTCTCCACTGTCTTTATTTTTAATTTGCTGTTACTTAAAAACCAGCAATAATCATATAAATCCCTTAGGAAAACTTTCTTTAGCTTCCTGGAACCATGTTTCGAGATTTTTTTCTCCTCTTTGATGATAATAAATGGATCTATTTTTATTGGAATCATTTAAGTACATCCAAGATTCGTCTATTGTGACAACATTTTTCATGTTTGTCCAGATGAATGTTTCGTTTAAAAAGTTTTGCAGCACATCCTGCATATGTCATGGGAAAAGATGATGCACATTATGTTTTTTTCCCCACCTTTTTAAGATTCACATCAACATTAATCAATTTTTTTACAGTTGACGCTGAACATTTTAATGATTTTGCAACTGTCCTTTGATTTGATGGATTATCTTTTAATATTAAAGATCTTACTTTTCCAGCATTCGAAACATTCTGCTTTTTCCTTGAAAATTTCTTTCATGAAATTTATAAATTCATAGAATAGTAACCTCCTAAAATCATAAACTGTTCCCTAAGGTAAACATTGACATCAAAGTATTTGTCATTTTACTGATATTCTAGAGTTCATAACATTTTAGGTACACAAATAAAAGTAATCTATTTTGATATTTTAGGCTAGATGAGACTACTGTAGCCAGTATTTATGAGAGAGAAGCATGAATATATTGTCTTTTAACATTGTAAGGTTTCTGGAATGACTTACAGGAGATTGTAAAATGTAAGATCATCCAGTGGAAAAGTACTAAATCACATAATCAGCAAAATTAAGCACTATGGGGACTCAGAACATCATAATATTTCATTGGTCATGTGTGAGGAATACTGCTGATTGCACTGGAATGAGTGGGACTGTATTCAGTAAAAGTAGGAAAGTAGTTTCTGTTTGGCACTGGAGAGTATTGAAAGGTTAGAAAAAAAATATGCTTCAAATTAGATAAGAACAGAGAGTTATAATTAAATTCTTGCATGATGAGCAACTTGTGAGATGAAAACTCCCATGAAAAATTTAATGATTGTCTGTGAGAAATAATTGTTTTATTTCTTAATATAAAGTAATAAACTGTAAAAATTTTGTGCGATTTCAGTTTCTATTTCCAATTATTTTTGCTTTTATTATATAATTGTCTTTTTAAACTTGCTGCAAACTGCACACTGAAATTTTAAATGGCTTTATGGTTCATATATAAAACTGCATATAACACTAGGCAATAATAGTTTTATTAAGAAAGAACAAATCTGTAAGACAGTGCACATTCTTCAATGCTAAAAATTAGTGACAACCAATTGGCAACAGTTTTTAACAGTCTTGTGACTTCTTTTGTGTGTTACCCCACACAAAAGAATCACCCTAAGTGGAATCTGCTTCAAACTAGATGATCATTTGAAGATGGACATTTAGAAATGTTGTTATGACCAACACAAGAACAATAAGAAAGCAGTCCAGAAATACTGTGAAATGAATGCTTTGATAACTGTGGTGAATACTTCAGACTTAATTACTTATAACTACCAACTAACCATTTATATCACTTTTCTTTTTTTTCCCCACAGAAATAAAATTGTATCTATTTATTTATATAATTCAAGGCATTCATTCATTCATTCATATTCACAGAATTCATATAATTCAAAGCAGTCATTCATTTATAGCATCATATTTATTTTCAAAGCATTCATTTCACAGTCCAGAAATACTGTCAAATGAATGCTTTGATAATTCCAGTGAATACATCTGAACACAGTTTTTCAGACTTAATTACTTATATCTACCAACTAACCATTTGTATCACTTTTCTTTTATTCACAGAAATAAGATTGTATGTATTTATTCATATAGTTTCAAAATACTTTTTCATAGTTTTATTTTTATTAATATCAAGTTTTAGTTTTCAGTGAAACTAATTTTTGAAAATCATCCCAAATTTTTTTTAAATTGGTATATTTTTTAGGTCAACTATGCCCATGTGGTGCTACTATATCACCAAGTTTTAAAGTAGCTGAAAGCAAACTGGACAAAGAATACAAATATTCACCTGCTGTAAATAATGAGCTCAATATTGCTCAAATAACTTAATGTAAATTTGTGTTCTAAAAATGTGTCTGTTTTGTGCCTATAACAAAGTTTTTAACAATGTTTTTTTGTTTCTGAATATTTAAGAGATGCATACAGAAATACATTTTATTATAAAAATGTTCATAATAATATTTTTACACTTCTTAAAAAACAATGAATGATCATAAAATTGATCATATTACAAAAAGAAATGCACTATTTTGCTGAAACATTGAAAACATTTCACAAATTTTACAACTATGTACTGGCACTTCCAAGTCAATTAGGATGATTATTGCAGATAAGTTATGGTATAGTCCAGTTTCAGATATTTCTTAGACACTTTGAAGTAAATACAGATTTAAATGCATTCAAGTAAAAAAGGAATGAAATATCATCTTACATGAAAGTTATCTTTTAACATTATATAGTTATATTGCAAACAAAATAACAAACTGCTCCTTAAAATATCCGTAAGTTAAAATGCTTGTTTTGTTATTCTGAAATATGATCTGTCAAAATATTTAATTATTGTTTATTTATATAAGAACTATACACAAACAATAAACTAAGATTTCCTAGTAAGGTAAAGATGTATAGAAATGAAAATAGTATGTCAAAATTATTTAAAAAAATTAATGTTAAAAAAATACTTTATTTAATAAAGCATTGCAAAAAAAGAATATTTTAAATGCTTGTACTGAGGTTATTAATGGTGTTGATTATTCTTCGTTTTTCTTTAAACAACACATTTCTGAATTCCCTGGCAAATTAAAACAAACTAATAGCTATGATAATGTGCCAGGTTTTAATGCAGGATTAATTTACATATCTAGACTTGATATTCATAATCTTTCCCTGTTTGAAAGTCTTTCATATGAGAATTACTTGTTGTATAATAATCCCTGCATTTATAGAAATAAATTCTTTCAGTCAAACACAGAGGGTGTTCACACATTTTTGTAACAATTTTGATTTTCTTCGTTAATTTAAAATATTAATTTTAAAATACAATACGTGACTGGCATCAAATTAGAATAACATTCAATTATTGTCTGCAGCATTAAAAATATTCTTTTCTTTTAAAATATCCTTGAAAAATAAATAATGGATCAAAGGCTATATTTTTGCACTGTCCAAATAAAAATACTCTTATTCAATTATTAAAAAAAGATATGAAAAGTATGGTTTTAATATTTCTGTACATAAAATAAGTGAAATAATAAAAACATCAAAGTTTGCATCTGACTGAGAAAAATGCATACCCAACAAAGGTATGCACAGCTCTTATTAAATTTAAAGTCTCATCCCATGTTTTAAAGGAAAATTCAGCCTTGCAAAGAGCTATTGCAAAATCTTTAAATATCTCTGTAGAAACTAAGAAATTATAAAACCTGATTTAAAGCTAATTTTAAAAAAAGAGATGCCTAAACAATATTTCTCAGCATAAGACTTGTTAGTAGATTACTGTATGAAAATTATTTGGCAGGTGAAAAATGAAAATATATAGTTACAATTGATTGCGCTTATATACATTTACCTGATTGCAATAGAAAATATCGATTTACTTGAGAAAAAGGCTTAAATGTTGGTTCAGAAAAAACAAGGAAAAGTTTTTTCAATGATCTTGTGGTTATTACTGGATTCTGTTAAAACAGAAAATTTAAAATAAGGAAAGTAGAAAAAAAATGCCAAAATTAATTCGGATTACTATCAGAAATATATTTGAATACCTATTTTTAAAGAAGAAATTCCTTCTCTTTATCCAAACAATCTTCACTGTGTTAAGTTCCATCAGGATATGGTTCCAAGCCATACCTTTAAATCTACTACTCCATTTATTCAAAAAATGAGAAATGAAACTATTCTCTTTAAATGCATCCCACCCAACTCCCCTGATGTGCCCCGTTGTGCATTTGAGCTTCTAAAATAAGGTCTTTATAAGCAGCATCCTAAAACATTGGATCGACTCTGGAAGATTGTGAAGCAGAATTGGAATAAAATCAAAAAAAGCCTTTTTTTTAATCTTGGAAATCAAGAAGTAATATGGTAGTTCAACAAAAAGGCTATTAGACTGAACATATTAGACAAAAATTCTAAGGTTTGTTTATATATAAATCATCACAAAAATATGTGAACACAACTCTTTATCTTCTGTATTTACTTACCAGTAAAAAAACAACAGCAATAATTAAATGCCAAAAAAGTTTAAAAACATGTAAAACTGATATTATAATACCTTGATTTAAAAAAACTTATAAATGTTCTCATAAAGTTTAAAAACATGTAAAACTGATATTATAATACCTTGATTTAAAAAAACTCATAAATGTTCTTCAAAATAAATTAAGATTTAAATATATAATAATATTAAAAAGAATCGAAATAAAGCAAATCAACATAGAATTAAAATTGTTGAAACCACATCATAAAATATAAAGAAAATCTTAATAAAAATAACAAAATAAAACTTATTCAATGAATACCATCTCTAGAAACATTTTAGATGGTTTTTATGTTTGTGTTAATATATTATTGAGCACTAACTGCAATTATGTAATCCAAAATATCTGAAGCTTTGTATCATTATGTATTAAATATTTCCTATAAAACTGTTTGATACACCGATAGAAATATTTGAGGAAGTAACTATGCAATAAATAAGTAAAGTTTAACTTGATAATGAACAAAAATTTATTTGCATCAGCTTTATTGGAACTTAGTCCAGCGTTATTGTTAGGGTAGTGGAAAAGACTTCAAAGTGGGGGGGGGTCGACTTATACACGGGGCCATAAAAAATTAAAAGAATCGGAAGTTCAAAAATTTCTTTATATAATGCAGTTGTTTTCTTCCCGCACTCATATTGGACGACTTGTCTAATAAGTCACTTATTTGAAGTAATTTCATGACTTAAATTATGTGACGAACTAATCACAGAGTTTCATACTTTAACTACAGTAAGTTTTGATTAAACCAAAGAATTTTTGGCCCCCGAATAACCGATCAATATCGAGCAATAAAAAAAATTCGCCAACACGCCAAGAAAAGAGAAATGCAGATAGTCTTTAGGTACGTATAAGTCTTTATAATAGTTATTGTTCATTCATGAATATTTTTGTTAACAGGCGTACACGTCAAAATTTAAAAAAATAGCACACGCAATAACTGAACAGTTTTGAATATTTCTTTTAACTTTTAAAAAGGGAAAATGCAGATAGATTTTACGTACGCGAATCTTTTCCGGAACAAATTCTAGAAGGTTACTATATACAATCACTTTTCCCCAATTATCTTGCATTTTAGATATGAATTTGGCCGGCAGAATGGTTTCATTGTCACTAGAACTGGCATACGTTTACGAGCAATGAAAAATACATTATCGATGTAAGAAAAAGGACTTCTTTTGAACTTTCCCAAATAGGGAATATGGACGAAACTCCCATGTGTTTCGATCTACCAGAAAATAAAACAATTGACTGCAAGGGGGAAAAAAGCATTTTGATAAAAACGACCGGGCATGAAAAAACCCATTTTACGGTCATTCTTTCGTGCTTGGCTGACGGCAGTAAACTTTGTCCGTTGATCATTTTTAAAAGAAAAACTTTACCGAAAAACGTTGTGTTTCCATCGGGTGTGCTGATTTGCACCCATGAAAAGGGATAATGGATGCTAACGGAACAGTCAATTGGCTTAAAAATATGTGGGATAAAAGACCGGGAGCAGCTTTCAGAAAACCTTCTCTTTTAGTATACGATTCTTTTCTTGGACAATTTTCTGAAGAAGTGACGAAACACCTAAAAACGACTGTGGCTGTAATTCCGGGAGATGTCTAGATGTCTGCCTCAATAAGATGATCTCTTGATCATCCCTAGATCCCTAGATCCCTAGATCTCTTGATCATCCCTAGATCTCTTCCCTAGATGTCTGCCTCAATAAGCCGTTCAAAGTAAATGTTAGAAAATATTGGACAGAGTGGATTAGTTCCGGTCGACCAACATTTACAAAGGGAGGCAACATTAAAAAGCCTGATATTACATTAATTGTTCAGTGTGTTAAAGATGCTTGGAACGAAATACCCTCTGAAATGATTATAAAATCATTTTTAAAATGTTGTATTAGCAACGAACTAGACGGCGCGGAATTGATGCTGTTTTTGAAAGTGAAAATGACGACGAAGGCTCTAGTAGTGATTGTAACAATACAGAGTTCGAGACTGAAAATATGTATGATGCCAATGACGACAGAAGAGTTCTACGAAATGTTTGGGGAATCTGACCATGAATCAGACGTTGAAGGATTTGGATTTTGTTTATTTACCAAGGTATTTTTTATCGTATATTTATTTTTTTCCTCAGATGATTTTGAATAAATGTAGTACTTTAAAAAAAATTTTCGAAGTTTCTCGATCGATTTCGGAAGTGGGGGGTCAACTTATACACAGTTTTCTTATTTTCTACGAATTTTTTATGTCGAAGTGGGGGGGTCGACTTATGCGCGGGTATATACGGTAACACTTTGATAATGATGGATAAAACTTCAACAAAACTGCAGTCAGTGAAAAATTTTTGCTTAGCCAATTATCACATTAAACTTCATTTATTTACTATGACAGAAACACATTCAAATTTTATAATTTAAAAAAAGGTGAAAACATACTACAATTAATTGTTCTAATGTATGTTCAGTGAAGGAGGGAATAGATATGAATTATTATATTTTTAAATGGATTAAGTAATTATTAGTAATTAATTTATTATCTTTTGGAGGAAATTTTTCTGAATGCATTAAGTTAGCTCATTTTTGCAATTTAAGTAAAATAATAAACATTTGCAAAATCATGTTCAAATATAAATCCCACAAATTAATACAGTCAAAAGTCTTTAATCCAGACTCATTGGGACTTCGGCGATTCCGGATTATAGATCATCAGTTTAAATCTGGTGAGATGGCATGCAGAAATTATAAAATTAAAAATATGAAAACATAATTTATGAAATAAAAAAACAATTATGACCTAAAGGGTATCAAAATTTACAAAAAAAAAAGCTTAATATTTATTTGTTTACTTTTATTAAACATTTCTT